CAGCATCGCCCCCGCCGCTCACCGTGGCGTCCTGCCCGGCGTGGCTGCAGATGAGCCGGGATCCCCCCGGGTGCCTCCTATAGAAATGACTGATGTCGTACACCTTCCTCTCGATCACCAGCCACCGCTCCTGCGGCGCCGAGCCCCGGCCGTTCCGCTGCCCGATCTCCTCCCAGGTGAAGCGCCGCAACACCCGGTCCCCATTCCGCTCTTCATGCACCTCCCCGGCAACCCTCGGCGGGACCATCCTCCTTCCCTCCCGCTTCTCCAGCCCCAGCACCCCGCTTTCTCCATGGCATATAAGGGTGCGACACGCCCCGGCTCAGCCCGCGGCTCCGGGCCTCCGCCCTCCTCCTTTCCCCATCCCTGGGAGCTCGGCGGAGAGGAGTCGGGAAGGGGAGAGATGCTGGCAGAGATTATGCTGGGCTGAGCTGAGCATCGCACCACCATCTCCTACTCCCGGGTTCTCCGTCTGCTCTGGGTTTAACCCCCCAACCCCAAAACCGCTCCTTCACTGCAGCCGCAGTGCAATCCAAGTAACAGTAACTACAGATAAGGAGCATTTGACCACTTGCTTAATTGTTTTGTGTTTTGGTTTGTTTTTTTTCTTGTTAGCTAGCTCATTCTGTTCCCAAGACAGGCTTACCGGGCTCTGACAGTCAGTGGAAACTTAGCTTAAAATACATCTCTGATTAACCTGTTGTTACCTGGAAAAATAATATCACTCTGCAGCTTAAAGTGTTACAGTCCATGAACACCTTTGAAAGAAACACGAGGTATGCACATTCTTATGTCAAATTCAAAAAACAAAAGCAAAACAGCAAGCAAAACCCTGAAACAAACCATGCTAATCTCTTAAAAGCTCAATATTATATTTAGAACCTGATAAAAACAGTGTTTCTGTATTACCAGTTCTCCAGCACTCACAGCAAGAAGGATGCAGGGAGGAGGAGACTTCTGCAGTGCCCTTTACAGTAATGTACATGAGTTATGCACATTCTCATGCCCAATTAAAAACAAACACACAAACTTACCAATATCTTAAGAACTCATTATTATTTTCAGAACCTGATGAAACACCGTATTTCTTTATTCCCAGTTCTCCAGCACTCACAGCAAGAGGGGAGTACAGAGGAGGAGGCTTCTGCAGTGCCCTTTGCAGTCGTAATCTTCTTAGAGCTCTGCATTTGTTGCTTCTGTTACCTCAGATAAACCTGGGATGGCACACACACAATGTTATACCAGGTTCTGATGGCAGGTTGGGAAACTGCATTTTCTTCCCTCTCCCCTTACCCCCTTCTTGTCTGTAACATTATTAAGTAAACTATTAACTTGCTCCAGGTAATTAGCATTAATTGCAAACAACACTTGGTTCAGCTTTCCCTGTCACAAAGCAGCCACAGCATTCACATAATTTTCTCTTTTCATAACAGGCCACAAAGTCTTGAAAATACTATAAAACCACAACTGAGTCAATGATTTCTTTATTCCATAAAAAAACAGATGTTAAAGGCCACACCAGCATCAACCCAGATGGAGGAGCTTGCAGTTAGGAAAAAGTTTTCAAAGCATATGATCAAAGCTAAAAATAACTTGGCTGAATTATTGTCTTTTGATGGTTTGCAGTATTTAATTTGAATTAATTTCTATACCTTTGCAACATTTCTCACACATCTACTTGCATTTTTTTTCCTTAGTGCTCATTTGCTTTTGAGGCTTCTTGGGCCAGTAAAGTTCTCACTTGATAATAATTCTGCAGTCTATATTCCAAGTTAGAAATATTGACCCAAAGGACCAGCAGAGATCTCATATAGCTGTCATGGCTAAGTTGTTTTGACAGTGTTTACAGCACTCCTGCTTTAAAAGAAGGTGTGAAAACACTAAAGTTGATTTCTCTGACCAGCTCCTATTGACAGCCAATGCAATAAGATGCTTCGAAAAGATGCTTCATAGTCATTATCATTGATCTGTTTCTTGGCTTCTCCCCTGCCACAGTAGGCAGTCAGAAAGCTTCTTTTCCTTCTCATTCCTGGACTTTGTCATCCCTCAGGCTCCCATCAGGTACTTTTTACAGAATGTTTTTATAACATTTGAGATAAGCTATCTCCAGTGCACCTGTACACACCTTCAAGAGCACAGTAGAACTTGTTCCTTTTAACTTCCCTCCTACACTGAATACTCAACATTGAATATTCAAAAGAAAAAGAGGAATAATTCAGTCATCCTTGTCCTACTTTCACACCTCCTTAGGTGCTTTTTCTGACCCTAAAATTTTGCGCAAAATTAATCAGCTTCAACACCATCACTGAGAGATTTCCTATTTCACCTCCTTCTCCACCTTTCTGAGCACACTCAAATGGCTAGGGAAGAAATAAACCAGAGAAATACACAAGAGAAATAAGTTTGAATCCCCTTGATATTTTACCTTTTCAGTGAATCACAGGTTGCTGAGTAAAACTTAGAAGTGTCTTCTTTTCCCATCATCTTTGATGTAAAGCTGCAGCTACCAGCAGATCAGTGAGACAGGTGGGAAAAAGCTTTTCCCCCCATGGTTTTTACCATACTCAGCATCCAGCCGCTCGGCTGTCCTGAGTAAGCTTCTTGGGTGGGTGAAAATGTGTGTGCCCTTAGACTGCCACAGGTGAGAGTAAACAAAACAAAACAAATCACACAACAAACAAACAAACACTACAACCCTTCTCTACCAAAAAAAAACCCAACCAAAAACCCATCAATTTCTGTGCATGATTCAGAAACTGGTGTTTGGGATCTTTAATGGGAAGTATTAAGCAGCACTGGGAACCTGGAAATTTCAGGAGATAGGCAACAGCTTAGCTGGAGCTTTAGATTTTAAGAACTGCCCTTGATCACCTAAAATGGTAGCCAGGCTGATAAGACTTTTCATGGATGTATGTCAAACCCTTAGATAAATGAAGCTTTATTTACTCAAGAATGAGCCACGTAACCTTCAGAGAAGGAACTGTCTGTTACATGGGTTGTGTGGTACTCATGACATTGCTACTGTATCAGCCTGTAGACAATACTCTGATAGAAATGCTGATAATAATAATAATAATAATAATAATAATAGCTATTGTATCAGCCAGTGATTACAATGGACCAATACTTTTGGTAACAGCTTATTAATCTGAACCACAGCTATTACATCAAGTTGCCAGCTACTGACTTTTTACTGGAACACCCCCTTAAGCTAAACTTAGGCATTTCCAGTATAGCAGCTCTCTGGTTTGATGTTTTGCAATCTTTGTCTTTTCACAATGAAAGGTCTCAGCTCCTAAAAATATAAACATCAAATTATGACTTGATATCTACCTGACAGCCACTTGTTCTCTCATGTATCCCACATTTTCATGCTCTGTAATCCATTCTTCCTTTCCTTGCATCAGGGTGAATTGGACAAAACCTGCATTATGGTCCTTTCTGGAACTCTTGTGTTAATACATACATTATCAAGCCTAAATGAAAAAAAAAAAGAAAAAGAAAAAGTAAAAGTAAAAGAAAAGGAAAAGGAAGATTTGGAACAGGGTTAAATGAATCTTGTATGCAGGTTAAAATCTGAACGCTGAGTTGTTGTAGCCCATAAGCGGTTAATATATCTGCTGACTCTCAAAGGAACTCTATTAGTCCTCTTTCTGCACACCATGGACATGGCAGATTCTTGAACACCAGAGAAATATTAGCTAGATGAATGACACCAAAGATATGGGGAGGTCAAGCACTTTCATATTTGTACTAGCAGGAACTTCCTGTCCTGGTGTCAGAATAGAATGGAATGGAATGGAATAGAATAGAATTTAGCCAAACTACACGACCACTTCGGGCTGATCAAAAGTTAAAGTATGTTATTAAGGGCATTGTCTAAATGCCTGTAAACACTGACAGGTTTGGGGCATCAACCACCTCTCTAAGAAACCTGTTCCAGTGTTTGACCGGCTTTTCGGTAAATGTGCAATCTAAACCTCCTCTGATGCAGCTTTGAACCATTCCCATGTGTCATACAAACATAAACTCACAGAATAATTATGGTTGAAAAAGTCCTTGAAGATCATCAAGTCCAACCATTTCCTAACTCTACCGTGCCCACTTCTAAACCATGTCCCTAAGCACCACATCTAGATGTTTTTTTATACATTCAAGGATGGTGATTCAACCACTTCCCTGGGCAGCCTGTTCTAGTCTTTGATAACCCTTTCAGTGTAGAAGGTTCTCCTAATGTCTAACCTAAACCTCCCCTGGAGTAACAACGTAATTTCCTTTTGTCCTATCAGTTGTAACTTGTGAGAAGAGACCCACACCCATCTCTCTGCAACCTCCTTTCAGGTAGTGGTAGAGACCAATAAGCTCTCCGCTCAGCCTCCTTTTCTTCAGACTAAACAACCCCAAGTCCCTCCTCACAAGTCTTGTGCTCTAGACGCTTCACCAGTTTTGTTGTGCCATCACTGAATCTAAGGGAGTAGAGCTCAGCACCTTCCTCTCCACTTCCCCTCCTCAGGAAGCTGTAGAGAGCAATGAGGTCACCTCTCAACCTCCTTTTCTCCACATTAAACAAACCCAAAATCTTTAGCCACTCTGTGTAGCAGAGCACATGCCTTCCAGCCCCTTCACCAGCTTTGTTGCCCTCCTCTGAACACATCCAAGTTAATTTTCATGCCATTGATGGCTGCCCAACACTTCTATCTATCTATTTCCCTCTGCAAGACTTCTCGTCCCTCGACAGAGTCAACAGCACCTGCCAGTTTGGTATCAGCAGCTAATTGCTAATGGTGTTTTCAACTCCTGCATCCAGATCGTTGATAAATATATTGAACAGAACCAGCCCTAGAACTGAGCCCTGAGGAACACCGCTGGTGACCTGTCACTAGCCAGATATAGCCCCAATTGATGTAGGATCATCAATAAATTGTAGGATCCCATTAGTTTTTTAAGGATCACTACCTATCCCTTTCTTTCATGATTTAGGAAACTTGACAGGATGGGGCCACATACAATTACAACGGCCACGTGCATTTGGAAAACGGAATGCAAGATCAAATTTGTTTCAGAACATCTTAGGTCTGCCAACATACCATAGAATCACAGAACTGTAGAATAGCTTGGGTTGGAAGGGACCTTCAAAAGTCATCTAGCCCAACCCCCAATATGAGCTAGTATTACTGTGGCCTCCATTAGCCTGTACAAATGCTGAAAAGTTTAATATGTCCACATAGAGCACAAACTGAATACTAG